TTATACCATTTTTATTAATTTTAAAGTATTAAGTATAATTTGATAAATTAGCTCTTTTATTATTTTGCACTTATGTAAAAGTCGTTTTACGATGCCGATGAAAGAAAATCTGCCATTAAATTAATTAAGGTATCTTGCAGTTCATGAAAATCCAGAGTGTAAGTTAGGTAATTTAATATATTATCATATGCCAATCGTTATTGATAGTGCATATTTTCTTGAAAAATTCCAACAATTTGTTAGTTTATTCACCTTCCCGGATGGATGAAAAACTCAAACTATTGCAAGCGTGTAAATTTCTGATTTGACGTACAATGCCACAATGTTGTTGTGTCAACACTATTTAATATACCAACCTGTATGTAATTAATTTTAAGGTGTTTTTCTGTATCAACTATTAACATAAGCGATCCCTCGGAAGCTTTTTTAAGCAGCAAATAACACAGAAACAAATTATTTTTTTCGTTAGAAAACATGAGTTTAACAACGTTTAAAAAAGTAGCGTATAATGTGAATTATTTGTCATTAAAGTAATAACATTTAAACAAAGTACTAGTAGTATTTTGACTTTTTTTATAAAATGCAACATCATTATAACTGTACGATTTGCGTACGATTATTTGTAGACTACAGACCTTCCAACAAAATTTTATATGGAGTTTTACGATAACAGATTTCAATAAAATGTTGATTTGATGTCTTAAGTGCAGATAGAAAGCTTGTTTTTATTTATTTTGGTACAAAATTATACCGCTTCGTGCGAATTACTATCGCTGCCAATTTTCACATAATTCAAACAATGTTCTCTAAAACCACAAAACGTAGGATAATGCACTTTGTATTGTTATTTGGAGAACATCTCCGCGCATAATGATACGCTAGCTTTTGTTTAGATTTAAGAATCGTTTGTCACCTTAATCTAACATAATAAGGAACTTACCGGGGCTCAGCAGACGACATTTTCTCGCGAGTATATTTTATATATAGTCACGTGGTTCCCCTTGTGGGATTTGTGCAAATCTTTGGCTTTTCGTTAGTGACGTTCTTTAGGGATTTGAATTCTCTCCAGTATTTCTTACTTAACTATTGTATTATCACCCTTATGTGATTCAAACTTCATAATCTCTGATCTCCTTTTGAAATTCTATTTTAATTAGCTTAGTTTATTGTATACACGCATTCCTTTACCTGGGGACCATTCGCCGTAATACATGGAATGGCACTAACGTGTCATATCAAGACATCTGCGGATGTTTCCAAAATAGTAAAATGCAAATTCGCTTCAGCCGGTGCTTGGGATGTGGATAGTAGTTGACAATTTCAGTACCGCCCATGAACAGGCTAAATCAAATCGAACTTTCTTTTGGTATTCTATTTCCCTTCTCCCTATTTAACGTTTGACTTTGGATTTTACTCGTATTGATCTAAAGGATTTGATATTCAAATGCAATCTGATTAAAATCAGTTACAAATAACGCTCCGCTTTTAGATCTGACCGTGACCATATACGAAATTATTTCTGGTGACTATTTACACAGCCAATCATCGGCGAGCTTTCATAATTTTGAAAGCGATGTAGTTTCTAATGTCAATCCTGGGAAAACCAATACTGAGTAGGTAATTTTAAAGATTTCAAGAATAAAAATGGCGTTGTCCATATAGCCGACAGGTAAACTTGCTAAACAATCTTGCCCATTAAAAATTGACCCTTTTTTTCAAGTAATTTGTTAAAAACTACTTCAAACGTATTTTTTCTATTATTTTCTATTCTAGTATTCTAAGGCCTATGTAAATAAAAGCACAGAAGGCGCTGAATTTGTTTGGGTCTCAGAATGTCAGAAAGGTGAATGTTGTGAGATTATCAACCAATTTGTTTTAGTGTAGTGTCAGCAATGCTGTTTCCAGTGTTATAACTGCATTAAATTGGCTATAAGGCTAAAAGCAACACTGATATTCAATTCAATGTTATTTTGCTTAAACAATTTTAAAAAAATGAGTTGCCATTAATGGGATTTGAACACCAGACCTCTTGCTTCCTAAACGAGCGTGAAACCCCTTGACAACGGGGAAGTCATAAGAAAACTGCCTAAAGCAAACAACATTATTCTAAATTAGGGTTTGTAATCCTTGTTAATTTCGAATTAAATTGAAAATGATTATCGATCGTCTACTGCCTAAAGTCGACTTGTCCTAGAGTCAACATCCTTATCTTATTTTTTCAAAAAGTCTAAATAACAAATGTTCATTTAGGCGATCACAATAATCCGAAGCTTTAAGCAAATAGCCGAGCAATTTTCATTGATGAAAATGAAATTCATCCGCGCAACAAAATTATTTGAATATATTACCGGTAATTTGCGGAAACGTTAAAGAATTACACAATATTAGAAATATTCAACCAATCGGGAACAATTTTTTATTCTCTAAAATGTTTGAAAATTAATGCGCTTTGTCGCAAATAGCGAGTGTATATATACAATTAAGTTGTCGGAGTCAGTTGATGACCGGTTGAGTCAAGACTCCGTCGGAACCTGAAAGAACTCCGTCAGAATCCGTTGGAGTCGATACTTAAATATTTCATGTATCACGAGTTTCATGCTATTTTCAGGTTAATTGTTACCTATATAAAGGGAATGAAATTGGAAACAGGGGTTATTAGTTTGGGATTAGTTTAGTTGAGTTTAGTTGTGTTAAGAGAATATTACATGTGAGGATTATTCAGGAATATTGTCTGTAAAATAAAATAAAATATTTGGATTTATAAAAAAAAAGAAAGTTAACAAGAAATTATTGTGTTTTACTTTAAATAAAATAAATTCCAGTGTGGCAAAGAAATAGCATGCTACAGTCCTAAAACTGAAAGTTATAACACTTCGCCACATTGTTTGGTCCCACAAACCGGATAACATTCAGTGGATACAATAAGTGAAGGAGAGTGCTTTTAATAAGAAATGTGATTTGGATATTGTTCAGTGAAGAATTGTTTGTTATTGGATAAAGTTATTTGGTGAGTGTGACTTCAACTAAAACTAAAAATGACTAAAGTTAAACATTTAAAAGGTGTTAGGACAAGATTTAGAAATATTCTGCAGAAAAATATTGATTTTGGAAACGATCTGATAAGTATTGATAGCGAAAGCTGTAATATTGAGAAAAATGTGCTGGAAACAAATAAATGTATTCAAACTTTCAAAGTGTATTGTGAAAAGTTAGAAGTACAAAGTGAAAAATTGGCAGCAGCTATCGAAGAAGGTGATTCAAAAGTAATTGAAACAATTACTGAAGAAGATTGTGAACTGTGTTCTGAAGCTGTAGAATGCACTATAAATCTACAACAGTTTAAAGAAATGCTTCTCAACGAAAAAGAGAAGAGCGAAATGAAACATGTTAAAAGTGAATCCAGTGTAGAAACACATTCAGATGAGTTTATGGCACTACACAAGGACATGCAAAAACTCATGCAGCTACAAATTCAACAACAAGAAAGACAACTGGACATTGAAGTAAACAAAGGTAAACATTCTTCTACAAAATTACCTAAACTAGATTTAATATCATTTGGAGGAGATAAGACAAAATGGAGTGAATTTTGGGATTCATTTACATGTTCAGTGCATGAAAATCAATCACTTTCAAATAGTGAAAAATTCAATTATTTACATAATAAAGTCTTCGGAGAGGCTCATCGTGCGATCTCAGGTCTAACATTATCGGACGCTAATTATAAAATTGCAATCGATATCTTAAGGGAAAGATTTGGAAAAGTGCAAGAAGTAGTTGACTTACATTACAATAAATTAATCAATTTGGAGCCAGCATCGAATAAAACCGGATGTTTAAGAAGCTTGCTCGATACAGTTGAAAGGCATTTACGCAGTCTAGAAGTGTTACATCAAGATATTGATCAAGCTGTGTTTGTGTCAATGATACGAGCTAAACTACCAGAAGAAGTTCTTGTTCAGTTAGAACTATTAAATGGGTCGAACAATGAGTGGAGTATAGACAAGCTTCGAAAACTATTGAATGAATATATTCTTGCCAGGGAAAGAGCAGAAAAGAAAGATAATGTGTTGGAAAAGAGAATACATGCATCGTCTACTCAATCAGGATACAAGCAAAATTCAGCTAAACTAAGGAGTTATACATATTCAGCTCAGCCAAGAAATTATACAAATTCACCCCAAACGAGGAGTTATTCGAAATCAGCACAATCAAGAAGTTATTCAAGTTCTGCTCATGTGCTTACAGTAAATAACCCTAAGCAACTTACACATAGACAACAGACTGAAAATTATGCAGATAAATGTCGTTATTGTCAGCAGAAACATTGGAGCGATGAGTGCACACAATGCCGAACTATAAATGAAAGAAAACAGCAATTGAAAGACAGCTGCTTCAAGTGTTTAAAGACAGGCCACAAATCAAGTGAATGTAAGAAAAACAAAATTTGTGCACACTGTGGTGAAGTGAACAAGCATCACAGAAGTTTGTGTCCTCAAAAATTCAAGGTGAAGGTATCAATGACGCATTTAGCAAACGAAGAAACAGAATATAAAGAGACTGAAAATTCTGAGGAAAATATTCTCGTGTCGTCAAATGAAATGGTTCTAATGCAGACGGCAATTACAGATATTAAAAATCCAGATACCTCTGCAACACAGTCTGTTAGACTTTTGTTGGACTCTGGATCTCATCGGACATATATAGCTGAAAACTTAGCAAGAAAGTTACATCTCAAAGTAACGGGAGAACAGGAAATAAAACTTGTAACGTTTGGTAATGATAGTACGCAATGCATCAAAACAAAATGTGCTAACATTGATGTTAAACTGAAAAATGGTGAATACCATTCAATCAGTGTGAACATAGTTCCGATAATAAGTGGCAATTTGCATCGAAGTCCAGCACGTGTTTTGAATAAGGAGCACGTTAAACATATTATTGGAAGTGTTAATTTAGCTGATTCATTACCAACTAGAAACGAAACATAATCAATAGAAATGTTAGTTGGAAACGACTATTATTTGGATTTTATTCTGTGTCAAAAGATCGAACTAAATCCTGGTTTGTTCCTTCTTGGGTCTAAGTTAGGATGGTACCTTACCGGAAGAACTTCTGATCAAGATAGCGATGGCCCATGTATGCTTATTCTAACGCATGGTAATAATGCAACAAATACAAGTTTATTTGCCGATGTGGATAGTGTTGTACCTGTGAAACCAAATTTAGAAGACTTTTGGAATGTGGAGTCAATAGGTATTATAGAAAAACAAAATATCTCAGATGATGAACATGCAATGAAAATGTTTCAGGATACAATTCAGTTTGAAAATGGCCGATACCAAGTCACGTGGCATTGGACTGAAGAATTTCCTGATTTACCTGTGAACAGGGACTTGGCAATAGGTCGCTTAAAAAGCTGTGTTAATAAACTAAAAACAAAACCTGAGTTAATGATGAAATATGATGAAGTTATGAGAGATCAGCTAAGTAAAGGTGTTATAAAGAAAGTTGAAAAACCACAAGTAGATGGTTTGGTACATTATTTGCCACACCATGCTATTACCACACCACAGAAAACAACCCTTAAGATACGCGTAGTATACGATGCTTGGGCGAGAACCAGAAAAGAAAATAAAAGTCTAAATGAGTGCATGTACAGGGGACCAGTAATGCTACAGGACCTCTGTGGTATGTTACTACGATTCAGGATGCAGCCGATAGCAATCGTTGCCGATATAGAAAAAGCATTTTTGCAAATTGGATTAAAACCTAGTCAGCGTGATGTCACAAGATTTCTTTGGTTGAAAGACTGTAAAAATCCTACTGTAGTTACTGACAATATACAAGAATTCAGATTTTGTAGGATTCCTTTTGGAGTAATCAGTAGTCCGTTCTTATTAGGAGCAACGGTAGACTTCCATTTAAAATGTTATGAAAATCCAGTTGCAGAAAATCTAAGAAACAACATTTATTTAGACAATGTTATCACCGGAGCTGAAAACACAAGTGAAGCAATACAGCTATATACAAAATCAAGGGCAATGTTTGCAGATGCCTCGATGAATTTACGGGAATGGATTACCAATAGTGATTTTGTAAATGAGTCATTCCAAAGGAAGACAGAGCCGATACGAAAAGTGTTAAAGTACTTGGACATCATTGGAATGTCAATGAAGATACAGTTACAATAACAGGCCCAAAAAACAAATCAAATGAACCGGAGTGGACAAAACGTACTGTGTTGAAAGCAATTTCGTCCGTTATTGATCAACTTGGCTTGCTATCACCAGTACTCTTACGAGGAAAAGTGTTTATTCAATCATTATGGTAGAAAAATATCGACTGGGATGACAATGTGACTAAAGAAGATAAAGAAAAATGGTTGTCTATTTTAATAGATATTCGCAAAATAGACACGTTGCAAATTCAAAGATGCGTTTGTGCGTTAACAGGACATTCTAAGAAATATTTATTGTTATGTTTCTGTGATGCATCGGAAAAGGCATTCTCAACAGTGATATATTTGCATGTTTCAGAGGAAAATACAACCGACGTAAATGTAATATTTGCAAAGACAAGACTTGCGCCTATTAAGAAACTAACAATTCCTAGGATGGAGCTTCTAGCAGTTCTGATTGGACTGAGGTGCTTAAAATTTGTTAAAGAGCAATTAAGAGTGCCTATTGAAAAGCAATATTTATGGACAGATTCAAAATGTGTTTTACAATGGGATACGTCGGATAAGAAATTACCGTTATTTGTAAAGAACAGAGTCAGTGAAATCAAAGAGCAAATTGATGTTTACATGACAAACATACCAAGTAAAGAAAATCCTGCAGATGTTGCATCCCGAGGGACAACACTGGAAACATTAGCAACTGACTTTAATTGGTAGCACGGTCCTAAGTGGTTGTTGAAGCCTACCTCTGATTGGCCAACCGATTATAAAAAAAACGATGATAGCTCACAAATAGTTGAAATGGAAGAACAAACAAACAAACAAGACAATAAAGAGACAATGTTAATGCAAGCTAAAATTAATGCGGAAGAACATAGTAATAATCCTCCATTTGACATTGACAGTAAAAGATTTTCTTCACTTACAAAACTGCTAAGAGTAACAGCTTTTGTGTTGCGATTCATACAGAAACTAAAGAAAGTTGAAAGAAAATATGGTTATTTAGAATGTGAAGAATTGTTAGAAGCTGAGAACATGTGGATTAAGCATATTCAAGAAACTCATTTTCAAAGTGACATCAATTCTATTTGAGGTAAAAAAAGGTACAAATAGACAACACCAATTAGGGCTATTTCTTGACGATCAAGGGGTATTAAGATGCACTGGAAGACTTGAAAATGCGAATTTAAGTGAAGGTGCCAGACAACCAATACTTCTTCCAAGGAACGATCATTTTACTGAATTGATTGTGGAAAAACCGCATAAAGAACTACTACATAGCGGTGTTTCGCAGACGCTTGCAACAACGAGACAAAGATTCTGGATTTTACATGGTCGTGCAACAGTGAAAAGAGTGCTAAATAAGTATGTTGTCTGCAGACGCAACGAAGGTGGTTGCTATAAAATGCCACCATTTTGACGCTACCGAGGTCAAGAGTGACAGAATCAGTACCATTTTCAAGAATAGGACTAGACTATTTTGGTCCAGTGTACTTGAAAACAACAACAGGTGACGAGAAAAGGGCACGGGTATGCTTATTTACGTGCTTAGTAACTCGTGCTGTGCACCTTGAACTAGTTTGTGACATGACCACAGAAGAATTTCCCGTCGGTTCATAGCTCAAAGAGGTACTCCATTGCAAATAATAAGTGATAATGCAAAACAGTTTAAAACCGCTAGTTTAGTGATAGATAAGATTTGGCATGGTATATTAAATAGTAACGAAGTTCAAAGCTACTCTGCAAATGCATGCATCCAATAGAATTTTATTATAGAGCTCGCACCCTGGATGGGCGGATTTTACGAGAGGCTAGTCGGTCTTGTAAAAAGATCATTCAGAAAAGCTGTGGGGCGAAAACTCTTAACTATCATTCAAGCTCAAACACTTATCAAAGAAATTGAAGCCGTAGTGAACTCAAGACCTTTAGTATATATTGGTGATGATGTAAACTCTACAATTGCATTAACACCGAGTCATTTTCTTACGTTGAATCCAAAGATCGGTATTCCACAAGTTTCGGACGAAAAGGACAGTGACTATTTGCCAACAGAAAGCTCTTCGGAAAAGTTGTTGAAAATTTGGAAGAAAGGTCAAAAACTTTTAAATAAATTTTGGCTGATATGGAAGAATGATTACTTACTAAGCTTGCGAGAAAAAATGCAAACACGTTTGAAAACAAGTCGTATTCAGTCACCTGTAAATCCAACAATTGGAGATATTGTTATTGTAAAAGAAAACTTTTCTCGAGGCAACTGGAAACTGGCAAAATTGAGAAGTTAAATGTCAGTCGAGATGGTGCTATAAGATCTTGTCAAATTAAATTGGCTTCAGGAAATGTTCTGAATCGTCCAATGAATTTACTTTTTCCCATTGAAACGACTCAAAATAATATTGTTTCAAAAGAAAAAAAGTGATGAAAATGTGCTTGAAGAGCAATTAATACGTTCAAACAGCAACAAAAAAAGATGCAAAGTTATCAGATGTCCGAACGTTATGTACGTTCTGCAGCATCAAAAGCGTTAAAGGCAATTAAACAACAGTTATCTGAATAAAAAGTGAATAGTTAAGGCGGAGTTTAATTAAAAAACTATGTTCACTTTAACGTTAAAGTTTATACACTGTGAATGCTCCGCCGGACATTTGTTTGTTTACGCAAGACTCACATGTACAAATAACCTCAACGGAGCATAGTTACTTTGTAAAATTACCAAAAGTTTTTCTCGCAAAAATCGTGCAAGTCATGGAAATAGCATATAAAATATGAAGAAACTTTGTATTGTGTCATCATTTCACAGTAGACACCTACAGATAAATATTAGAAAAATCGCAAAAATATTAAAATGTATCAATGCAATACTTGTCAAAAGATGTATAAGTATAAGAGAAATCTACTAAGACATGTTAAAGAACGACACAGAGAGGTTGAACATGGGAATTGTCCTGTTTATTCATACATCGGGGATATTTGTGCAAACATTTGACACTAAAACATGGCTACACATCATCGAAGTCACGTGAAACTGCTATATCAGCCACCAGAGGAAACGCGCATTCACAGAACTCATACTACGATGACGTCAGTGACGATGATTCTATACTAGATTTATTGTCATACAACGACACACACAACGACTTTGGGCCAGTTTTAGACAGTTTTGATTTGAACATGCTTGATGAAACGAACAACAATCAGTATGATGACGTCAGTAGAAATAACGTCAGAGACGTAGACGTAAATGATTGTCAGGCAAGTGTTGAGTGCAAGGATGTTGAAGTTCCAATTGAAATAAACAATAGTGGAAGTGAACGTCAGAATGATATTTGTGACTCAATAAGTGACGTTAACGTCAACGTAAACATCAACAGAATAAATGGCAACCAAAAGGATTCTGGACATAGTACAGAAATTAAAAACAGTGAAACTGAAAGTGATAGTGAGAAGGAGGACGGTTATAGTGTCGTAACAAGTTTCTACGAGGGAGATAATATTGACGTCGACGTTGACAGTCATTATGATCAAAACACAGAAAATTCGACGTCTGAAAGTATTGTTTATGAAAATAACAACTGTTGTTTGGATAGTAAAGACACAGATCTTTCCGACGTCGGCAGTGACAACGACGCTATCAATAATAACGTTTGTGATAAAGATATGGTTATTATTTCAAGTGACGGAGAATCTAGTGGAGGAGACAGTGACCCAGAATATCAACAAATCGAACCAGCCACGTTTCAATACAAATCCAAAGTGTGGAACTTTACATTTAGACAACGGTTATGTATACGTCAAGGAAAAGAATACGTTTAAGGGGAGGATATTGGGTGTGACTATTTTGAGTTTGACAAATAGAAAAAAAAAATGTGTTCGTGTGTTTAATTATGTTAAAAAGACTAATATTACTTTTCAATATGGGAACAAGAATTTGAGACTGCCATGAGAAAATTGATATCTTATTTTTTTGTATATTATACTTGTTTCTGTATATATTGACTTGGAAATGATATTGTTGGAAAACATTTTGATTGAAATGCTTTTATAATAAGTAATTACAAGTATAATATCAAATTTACATATGATAGATGAATATTAACAGTTGTATAATATCTGAATAGTTGAAAATGTTCTTATTACATAATAACATCATACAGGATAAATATTGTTGAAATTTCAACTCTTTAATTTGAACTTAAAGCAATGCTTTGTTTATTTCGCTTTGGCGGGAGTGTCGCAAATAGCGAGTGAATATATACAATTAAGTTGTCGGAGTCAGTTGATGACCGTTTGAGTCAAGACTACGTCGGAACCTGAAAGAACTCCGTCAGAATCCGTTGGAGTCGATACTTAAATATTTCATGTATCACGAGTTTCATGCTATTTTCAGGTTAATTGTTACCTATATAAAGGGAATGAAATTGGAAACCGGGGTTATTAGTTTGGAATTAGTTTAGTTGAGTTTAGTTGTGTTAAGAGAAAATTACATGTGAGGATTATTCAGGAATATTGTCTGTAAAATAAATAAAATAATTGGATTTATAAAATAAAGAACGTTAACAAGAAATGATTGTGTTTTACTTTAAATAAATAAATTCCATTGTGGCAAAGAAATAGCATGCTACAGTCCTAAAACTGAAAGTTATAACACTTCGACATACGCTTGTCATTTGACAATCTTTACGCAGTGATTTCTCCTGAATTTTTCAGCGTAAGTGTACTTATAAAGGGAAGTAACCGTTTGAGGAGTTCGTGATGGACTTCATGCGGATTTTGCAAATAAGCATATCAGGGTCTGAAATTTAAACATTATTTGTTTGGTCTGATTACCAAAAACAAATAAAAACGGTTTGATTGCATGGCTAAAAATAGCTTTCTCGGGAAATCCGAATTATAAAGAAGGCGAAACATATACAGTCGTCATCAGATCTACATAAAAGAAATAAGTAGATCTGAACTTTAGTCAGATTGTATTCAAAAGCAGCCGATGACCTGATAATGGAGGAGCAAGAAACCATG